GATTTAATACTCATTTTGGTTTTGGTTTTGTTTTGACATTCTTGAGTTTATTTGGACAGACCTGGGGTGAGAGGGCCCAACACCTAGAAGAAGGGGTTGGGTCTTGGCGGTGAAGCTTGGCTTGTGCTGGCGACACAGGACGCCATGAGGCAGCAGGAATTCTGTCTTGGAGTTGCAGAATTGCTTGGCTGCTGGCCGGCAGCCGTTGGTGGTCACAGTGTTTTCTGCCTTCATGATCTGCATTGAGTGGGCCCAGGAATAGTACCCAGTGCCCATGTCTTGGTCTGAAGAAAACAGGAGGCAGGGTGACCACATTCACCAGGATTTGGGCATTTGACCAACCTCCTATCAAGTATCTGGCACATCCTGTTTGGTACAGTAATTGCCTGGGGACCACAACTGGGGGCTGACTTGGGGACTGAGTGGCTGCAGTCTGTGGCCCCAGCAGCCACTCCTACATATTTTATGATACCATTTTATGCACAAATATCACCACTAATGTTTTAAAATATTTACTTTTGGTTATTTTGTATTAATCATGATTTATTCATTCAACAAATATTTATTGAATGCCTGCTATACACTAGGCTCTTGGGATATTGTGATGAATTTAGAAGTTTAAAACATAAATGGGCCAGGTTCAATAGCTTACACCTATAATCCTAGCACTTTGGGAGGCCAAAGGGGAAGAATTAATTGAAGCCAGGAGTTCAAGACCAGCCTGGGCAAAATAACAAGACCTCATATTAAAAAAAAATTAAAAATGTTTAAAAGCCAGGCATGGTGGACCTATAGTCCTAGCTACTCAGGAGACTGAAGCAGGAAGATCACTTGAGGGGTCAGCAGTTCAAGGTTGCAATTATCTATGATCATGCCACTGCACTTCAGGCTGGGCAATAGAGTGACTCTCTCTAAAAAATAATAAAAACAAATGGTGCCTAAGTTTTCATATATAAATATATAATATATAAAAATATATTACTAGAATATATATGTTTAGTAGTTTATTTCACTTTGATTGCATGTTAATTTTTAAGAACTCCTAAAATTTCTACAATTAATTCAATGATTTGGGAAAAGTTACGAAGTTGTTTAAATCTTCAGTTTCTTTTTAGAACATTACATATTACTGTAGGGTAAATTATTATAAAATGCAGGGAAAAAAAACCCACAAATGAATGTGAAGACAAATTTTTAATTTGTGATTATTGAAGTGGAAAAAATCTTGACAATAATTTTAAAATGAGTAGTGAAATATGTAAGTTCACAAAAAAGTATTTGGTACCTTTATCATTTATGTTTTAAGATGTAGCTTAACATTTATTACTTAACCATCCACTTTTTCTTTCTCTTCCTTGGTGTATTCTGACTTCCTAGATTTTATCTTATTTTTCTTTCCTCCTAAATATATTCTCCCTTTGGACAAAACTGTGGGTGGTCCTCAGAGCTGATCCCCAATTCCCAGATCAGTAATTTTGTTTTAAGTTTTATTTTGTATAGAAAAAAAAAATGAGTTGAAAGCTGTATATGCTTCCATCTGAGGTCTTCAGCGGGAAAACTATGAATTTAGTCTGGCTGCCAGCGCAGCACTGGGGGTCTGCTGGAAAAAAAGAACATGTAGCCTCTTGGGACCTTCCATCGAGTGTGGCCGCTGTAGAACCTGCCTTATTGCTTAGTTTTAGTTGTCATCGAAAACTTCCAGCAAGAATGGTTCCTGTTTGACTTTTCCCCCCAGTGGAAAAATACTAGACACTGTCTAAGTAGACCAAAGAGACTGAAAAGCCTGGATAGACTGAATGATGGTAGAGAAAGTAAGGAAGGAAAATCTTAATAGAAAAGAAGTGGAAAGAAAATTTTGTAATTGTTAAAAGAACATAAAAATGCCTTGGGCTTCAGGCAGAAGGAATAGTTATTTTTTTGTGAAGCCCACTGGTTTCCTCTACCCTGTATTTCTAGCCCACATCGCCCCTCATCCTGACTCCTGCAGTCTTCCTGCCTCTCCACGTCCTCTTACTCTTTGTCAGCACACTGCTTGCCTGTTGGGAAGGTATCAGTGACTATCCACTAATTCCTGCATAAAGTTCAAATTCCTCAGTTTAGTAAATCAGTGCCAGCCACAATCTAAATCTTTGTATTTAACCTTATCCCCCAACCCGTTTTTCCATGTTCCCTTTTCTCTGGCCAATTGGGATGATTAACCTTGTCCTGAGCATGCATACTACTTTGCATATCTCACATTGTCTTTTTGGCATGGGAAGGAACTGTCATCTTTGCCAGTTGAAATCCTACCCAAACTCTGAGACCCAGCTGCTTCCTGATGTTTTCTTAATCACAGCAACCTGGAACAGGCCCTTCCTTATCTGGACTACTATGTGACTGCTCCTCTCCTTTCCTGACTGCCTCATGTTAGTTATTTGTTCTTACCTTATTTTCCCTGTAAGATCATAAGCTCTTTGTGGGGCAGAGAGCACATCTCTTCCTCTGTATTTCCTCCATAGTGCCTAGCATATTGCCTTCCTTATAGTACTTGAGTAATGAAAATATATTGGGTGATGATAGAAATCTGATGTGAATCAGGTAGTCTAACACAAATCTCATATTTTTGTGGCTGATTTTATGCTTCCGTTTGTATAGAAATAAAAATAGGTATGCAAGTATTTGTTACTAAATGGAGACTTACAGTACCTATAGCAGTGAAATTTAGTCAGTGGGTCCAACAATAACAAAACCTCTCACCTTAACTAGGTGTCTGTGGGTATCTGAGCACTCACTGCCATCCAGTACCCAAATCCAATGCCACAGGTTCCCAGGCAGGGGTGATTACACCTTTGGAAGGAGGGCTGAAGTACCGCTAGGCCTCCTGAATTTCTTTTTGTTGATTTCTCTCTTAAGAATGTAGTTCTTTCCTAATGAATTGTATGCGTCTAATTGCCAATGATATTTAGATGTTTTTTAACAGTAGACCAAACATTACAAATGTTCCATTGGTGATGCATGTGAGAAGAAGTATTACAAATGTTTTTCTCCCACTTAATTTTCCTGTGTGAACTAAATCTAAACATATCTAAATTTTCATAATTCAAAGAAAATATCTGTGCCAACATTCTGAGAACAAATAGCTGCCAAGCAAAACCTGACAGCATATTCCTTGGTGACATTCAGTCCTTAAAAGCTGTGTGCACAGAGTGAGCAGCTATCTAAAACTGAGCTCATATGCAAATGTGAATATTCTTCAATTAAAATTACATTGTGTGCATTTAAACTTTCTCTAGAGTCTATGAAATGTTCAGGAAAAATATAACTGAGCTTAATCTTAGGTACCTTGCCTCATTTTTTTTTTTTTTGTCATTTTCAGCTACTAGCCTGTCCAAAGAAAACAACTTTCTTATTTCTTTTAGTTTTGTGTGTACCCTGAGCTTGATTCCCAATTGCTGCTATAAAAAACTGAAATGGTTCAAACACTGCTATTTTTCTTTTTTTCTCTGTTACTAATACTTAAACATCAAAGATATGCTGGTACTTTTATGTTGTAGAGTATATATAAGGCCATATTTTCCCTAAAGGTATTTGCTATCCATGGGTGGGTGTGGGTGTGTGTGTGTGTGTGTGTGGGTGGGTGGGTGTGTGCTTGCACATGTGTGTTTTCTTAGCTGTTAGCCTTTTTTAGAAGTCACCTAACTCATAGCCTTTTACTATCACAGGATCACTGGCAGTGTGGAGGAAGAACTGGAGTGAGGCCATATTAGCAAGGAGATGAGTTAGGAGAATTTTTTTTTTTAATAATGTATTCAGATTTTTTTTTAAAGCCCTATCTTAACATCAAAAACGTACGTTGTGATGACCTTGGGAAATTTTTAAATTTAAGCATGTTATCGCGACTCCTCCTAACACTGAAACTAAAAAATAATCTGTTTCCACCAAGATGTTTAATATTATTGCAATTTCCATGTAAATCCTTAATGTATTTATTATAAGGGCCTTTTAAGACAGTCTTACAGGATGTTTTCAAAGTTTTATTCTGTTTACTAATTGTGAGTTTTTCATGAGATTTACCTTGAGTTAGCTCTGTTTAAAAATTATATGTGATGTGAAGGAAATCTTTAAATTGTTTGCATATGATGTAAATATATTTTTCTTAAAATGTCAGTTTTCTTTCCTTGTACTTAAAAATCATAGAACATTGTTTTCATTTAAACCTGTTTCCTAAAGTAGTACTAATTATTATATAATTTTTGGAATACTCATGTGGTTAAACTGATTTTCTTAGCTGCAGTTAGTGGGTAAGAGTAGAAATGGGACATATTTGAATGACCACAAAACAAATCCAGATATGACCAGATGTGGCAATGCTACATGAATAAATATAAATATGTATCAGGAAACTCAATTGGTAAAAGTTGCAAAAGTATATAACTGAAAAATAGAACAGATACATCATATCTTACATTTTAAATGTTGAGGGTATTTCTAATTTGACGTATCTGTGATCTCAGAAGGAGAGTATATTAAATGAATTGCATCTTCAAATTGCTATTTTGTTCTTTATCAGAAGAAAAATATAAGGCATGGCAGTTTATGGTTAAAAAAACAAAAACAAAAACAAAAACTAAATTTAGCTTTAATTATTGTCTAGCCATAAGAAGGAATAAACTATCAGCCAATACCAAGGTTCTTTGATCTCACATTTCAACCTTTTTGTCCTCCAGATGAATGAAATGGTCTTTTCTCAAATGTTCAGCAGGCCTTTTACCATTTGATAGGACAATTATTTTTAAGAAGGTTTAAAATGTGATCTGAAAAACCACATTGACTCTATGTGGCATATTTGCTATTCTTAGCCTGGTGGAATAAGCTGAAAGTGGATGAATAATGCAGGTTAGAAAGAAAACAGATGCTGAATATTACAAATGGAAAGGTTTTCCAGCAATGAGACTTTCATTTTAGGACGAGATTTTTGTTGGCATGTTTGGCATTATGACGATTATTGTTTTTCTCTCCAGCTGTTACACATCTGTATTGAAGGTTGGGGCAACTGGCGTTGGTCAGAGCCTTTCAGTGTGGACCATGCTGGGACTTTTATTAGAACAATTCAGTACAAGGGTCGAACTGCTTCTCTCATCATCAAGGTTCAGCAACTCAATGGAGTACAAAAACAGGTATGTTTCTTTGTGTTCATGACGCAGACACCTCTTAATTATACAGTGTAATGGAGATGAGACCTAAATGAAAATAATTAATAACTTTTTAAAAATCACAGTGGTTATGCCTAGTTATAGTTACTACTACCATGCATGTGAGCACTTAATAAATGCTTGTCTAAGATCCTGACAATGATGATGGCTTCAAACCCTTTGTCCCACTTCTTTTACAAGAGCTGCTAACGAGCAGTAAAATTTACTGATTTTAGTTTCACCTCTTCTCCCTGTCACCACCTACCTTCTAGTGGAGGTGCTAATGAGCTGTGAAATAGCCAAAAGTCCTTTATTGAGAAGGAAAAGCAGCAAAGAGTAGTGGGAACCCTGGATAATCCACCAGCGGATAACCAAGAGTTGGTTCTCATGCACGTGAGAACGATCTGTGAAGAAGTGCTGTGATATTCTCCCATGACAGAGTGGGCCTGGGTCTCCAGCAAGCTTTTCTTTTCCTAGGAGTTAATATGAACTGCAGTAAAAATTCACTGCAGCCTAACTCTTGGCATATAAAACCTTAGCTCTCAGCACATATTTTTATGTATTTTATAAAACTTCCTTTTGGCTGTTTTTGAAGTTCTAAGACTGTAAAGGGAAAAAAAAGTATCTGACACTTTTTTTGTGTTCTTAAGATGTGAAAATGTGGTTTCTAGAGATGTTTTTCAAGCATGGAGCATATGACAAGAGTAGAAAGAAAAAAAGGAAGTATTAAAATCTGAAATCTGGCTTCCCTGCACACATAATAACTGGGTTTGTCATAAGAGTTTCAACATATACGTCTACGTCTGGGTTGTAACAGTCTATCCAGAGCTTATGTGAACTGAGGACATGATAGAAACAGCACTTAGTCTCTGGAAAAGGAGAGCTTCCCCTATGGAGCAGCAGGAGCTATTCTGTTGGTGCATGCCAAGGAGGAAACAGGAAGCTACTAGAGAGATGAACAGTAGGACCCACACCATATGCATTCTTGGTCTGCACCTAACCAAGGAGCTGGACTTGATGATCTTATTATTGTGGGCCACAGAAATAAAAAGAACTGTAGCAGAGGAGTCTCAGAAAAGATACGTGGAAGATTCTTCCCAATTAACTGAGCATTCCTCAGAATATTTATTGATTGCCTACAGTGGAAAAAGGTAAAATGCAAAACACCAAGTATGTGATACAACCTTTGCTTTTAAATTGCAATTTTATGTAAGCCCAACAGTGTATATAACTGACAGTAAGTATAAAGGGAATTTAGAGGTTTCACTGAGAAGATATGACTTGAGCTGGGCTTTGGAAAATATTGTAGAATTTGGATTAAGAGACAGCATTTCAAGTAGACTGTATAGCATAAATAAAGAGACAAACATGGGACAAATGAGTCTTACTAAAGGATTCCTGCGGGGACTGGCCTGCTAGTGTGAGCACTGAGCCAAAGAGTCATAACAGCAAGAAGTGTCACTAACTCCCATCTGCCCTCAGAACATTCTTACGTGAATTTGCTCTCAGTGACTATCTGCCAGTAAGTATATACTGGTTTTCTGATTCTGTCACTCATGGTCTTTCAAGAATGTCTTATCCACCTTCTCATTCAATATCATGTCTGAGAAAAGGTTATCCAACCTCTTTGAATAGTTCAGCTGACATGAGGTGCATTCCCTCACACAACAGCCCTTTCTGTTGTTGGCTACTACAAGCTAAGTTTTTTTCCTAATTTTAAACCAAAAATCTTTCAGCATCCCACCACCTTTCTCCATTCCCTAGAACTGTGAGGCATATGCAACAAGCACAAAACTTGTGAGGACTCCACAAGTCACCTCTCCTCTACATTATGGCCGTTCAAAAACGTAAGGGAAGCTAGCATGTTTCCCTTTGGTTTCCTTCTCCCTAGGCCTTTTCAAATTTGAGTTTGCATCAAGAATCCCCTGGAGGGCTTGTTAAAACACAAATTGCTGGGTCCCAACCCCAGAGTTTCAGATTGGGTGTGGCCTGTAATTTGCATTTCTCACAAGTTCCCAGGTGCTGCCAATGCTGCTGGTTTGGGACCACAATTTGACTACCATAGCTCCAGTCTAAACTTTCCCAGGTGGCTCAGCTCTTTTTAGTGTAGCTGCTGGAACATTTACCAGTTACCGAAATGGCAGGGTCCCTCCATACAGAAATTGTTTCAATGGTATATCCTGATAGTTAAGATCATAGGCAACTTGACTCTGTTCCCTTGCTAGCTGTGTGATCTTCAGTGAGTCATTTAAACTTTGTGAATCAATTTCCTCATCTGTAAAATGGGGATAGTAATAGTGCCTTCCTCAAGAAGTTAGTGTGAGGATTAACTGAGTTTGTTTATATAAAGTGCTTACAACGTGCCTGCCCTCCTGCCATAGCCCAAAACACTGTACTTCCAATTATTCTAATGAAATCTTACTAGGCATGAGTAACACTAGTTGGACTTTTTTGTGTTGTAACAATAGTGCCTCATTCTTGTATAGATACTATGTATTTTCAAGAAACAATGTTAAATTTCAGGGATAAATTAATATATACAGTGTTCCTGGACAGATATTACACATTGCAACAGTATACCTACCAAATGTCATAAAAGTTGGTTATTTGAAAAATACATTTCTAAAAAATTCTCATAGTTTTACCTCTCCCCTCCCCCCTCACGCACTCAGATACACACACCCACAAGCAAAATTGTTAAACGTCTTTTTCAATTGGATGTAATTTTTGCTGTCAGGGTAGTTTAGCGTTCAGATTTGCTCTGGTTAAAGTACATCAGAGACATAGGATTTCCTCAATTGGCAAGGTTAGGAAGGAAGAAGGGAACTAAGCTTCAGAAGAGCTTTGTGGATTCTTGCCTCCCTCACATCTTGGCTTCTTTCCTTCTACCCCACCTGGGCCTGGAAATTTGCAATAAACTGCAGCTGCCTAATTACCAAGGCCTATTTGGGGAGGTGAGTGTATGTAGATCCCTGATGTACCTTAACCACACTGAATGTGTGCAGATCCGAGATGTACCTTATTGCCCCTGGATAATGGAGAATTGCTAAAGCTCTTTTTTAACATTGATGTTGGGTTATCTGTGCTTTGTCTTTCCTGTACCCCTTTCATTTCCCCAATTGAATGAAAATTGACCACAGAAAGTTTCGTAGAAACTTTGTATGTTCTGCAACTACTCAGGTACACCTATTTGCTTCCATGTTTCCCATCCTTTTGTTGAAGAAAGCTTTACTACTCTAAAATCTCAAATGTATGTATGTATGTATGTATAATGGTGCCTTTATACACATACTTTTAATCATGGTTAAGATATCATTTTTCAGTGCATCTGGTGCTCTGGAGTTATTCTTTAATATCACTATTCTTCTTGGCACTGATCTAATAAGAGTTCTGAAACCTGCTAAGTAAAATCATATGTGGAAATCTTCAATACACATCTTTGTGGCTTTGGGGAAGGAGGGGAATTAGTGTGAAACCTGGAAATGTGTATTAAAGAGAAACTGTGCATTTAAAAAATTAAGTAGCTGTCTTCAACTGATAAATTAATCTTGAAATTCTAACGATAATTTTCAAAATAAAGGCATTGTAAGTTTTGCCACTTTGAAGAAAAGCAGATATAACTCTCCTGAACCTGGCCCCGGAGCAGCCGTGAAAGCACACAACTCCACTGAGTGGCCATTTTTGGATTTTCCTTCATTTAAAGTGGCCTTTCCTCCCTGGCCAGTTTTAAGAATTTTCTTTTTATCAAATTTGAAAGCCTATTTAACAGGCTTTTTAGTTGAAAATGAGACTATAAAAACCCACCAAGAGGATCTTTGTCTTTAAACAAAGTGAGTCCCAGATGGTTGTAGAGATTCTGTGGTTTCTGTGAGAGACAGCAAAATTCTCTTCTAAATCTCCTGGGGTCCAAAGGTTCTGAAGCAAGAGCCATGTGCATATATTGCCAGGCCCGGGCACATCAAGAATAACAGAGTTAAATACTGCTTCAGAGTTTTCAAATGTTTCTTTAAAGTTAGGCAATGCTATGGCATCATAAGACTTATCATGAGTGTCTAGTAACCCCTAGAATATGCTACAGAAAAGTTTGCTTCCTAATTTAGGACCATAGTTCAGTTGACTTTTATGGTTTGTTATTGTGAAAGCATAGTTTTAAAAGATTATAATGGCTGGAGTATCTAGGGGAAATATAACAGTTAAGCACAGGTTGGCTTTACAGATGTGCTCCTTCTAAAGAAAATTCAAATAAGCAGATAGCTGAGAAATAGATGTTTCAGAAAAAGCTAAACCTCACCATTCAAATAATGCAAATTAAAACAACAGAGGCATTTAATTTTTGGTTCCTCGATCTAGCAGGTTTCTTTTGGTTAAATAATAGTGTAGCCCAGTGTAGTGGCTCGTGCCTATGATCCCAGCACTTTTGGAAGCTGAGGCAGGAGAATCATTTGAGCTCAGGGATTCAAGACTAGCCTGGTCAACATAGCGAGACCCCAACTCTACAAAAAATAGAATAAATTAGCCATGCATGGTGGCATGTGCCTGTATCCAAGCTACTCGTGAGGCAAGAGGATCCCTTGAGCCCAGGAGTTCAAGGCTGCAGTAAGCTGAAATCTTGCCACTGCACTCCACACTGGGTGATGGAGCAAGACCCCCATCTAAAAATAGTGATGATAATAGTTCATTTGTAAATAGTTATTCATAATTATTTGTGTAAATAATAGTTCATTAAAATTGATGGTTACAGAGAACTCTTGGTGACATAGAAAAATGTATCAATTAGGATGCTTTCAGTTTGAAGTTACAAAATATGCTTGTTAATCTTCATAGCACGTTAATGAGGCAGATACTGTTCTTTCTGTTTTATGTTTATTGTTTCACATAACAGGGAGGAAGAAGGCTGGTTCAATATTGGCTAACCAAGCAACTCAGTGTTGTATTTCCTTCTCTGTCATTCTCTTGGATTTGCCTGCCTGGTCTCAGATGGCAGTAAAAGCGGTATACATCCTCTGATAACAGCTTCTGTGACAGAAAAGACAGGCTGCCCTTCTCAAATTGTCTCCCTTATTATCAAGGAATAGTATCTTTCCCAGAGCCTTTTACCAGTCTTCTTCTCATATTATTGGCCAAAATAGAGTTCCATGTTTACTCTAATCAGTGGCAAAAGGAGAATGGAATTAACAGGATTGGCTTATACCAATCATAATACAGCCACTGGGGGCCAAAAGAGGTGTCTACCTTCCCTGAGTTTTTGCTGCCTTTTGATACCTAACCAAATCAAATGAGGGTTTTTAAAATAAGAGGAAGGAGAGAACAGCTATTGGGAAGGGAAGCAATGGTGTGTGACATATTTATGTTATAATGAGCAGGCTTTATTTTCTGTTTTATAGCTTATAAGTTTTCTTAATGAGTAGATATTAATTTTATGAGAGACAGACTATCAGGGTGATAATCAACAGACTCTGATATTTAATAACACCAAGGAAGTTATTAAATATCTCCGTGCGTACATTTTCTCTCTGTTAAGATGGGGAATCATAGTAGCACCTACTTTATAAGGTTGCTATGAGAATGTGTTCTCCAGAAAAACAGCACTAATGAGGGTATGTGTGTGTGCACATGCATGGGTGTGTGGAAAAAGAATGATTTATTATAAATTGACTCATGATTATGAAACATGTGACATAATCTTAGAGAAGTCCCAAGATCTGCAGTCAGCAAGCTGCACACCCAGGAGAGCCAACGTGTAGCTCCCATCTGAGTGCAAAGGCCTGAGAACCAAAAGAGCCAGTGGTGTAAGTTCCAGTCCAAAATCTGGCAAGTTCAAGACCCAAAAAGAGCTGATGCTTCATCCCAAGTCCAAAGGCCAGAAACGACCAGTGCTCTAGCTCAAGCAGTAAGGCAAAATGAGTTTCTTCTTACTGAAACTTTTCCTTCTATTAGGTCTTCATTTGGTTAGATGATGCCCATCCATGTTGGGGAGGACAATCTGCCTTACTTAGTCTACCACTTCAAATGTTCATCTCACTCAGAAACACCCTCACAGACACACCCGGAATAATGTTTGACTAAATGTCTGGTCATACCATGACCAGTCAAGTTGACATAATAAAATTAAACATCATATGCTTAGACCTGTACATACATTGTGTGTGTGTGTGTGTGTGTGTGTGTGTGTGTGTGTGTGTGTGTCTTTGTATGTTATAATCTGGAAAAATATTACAGACAGGAAATTCAGTATATGAAAGTCCTATTTTCTCCAATTATGGTGAATATTCATATTATGGAAGAATTTGCTTTCTGAAAGAATTCACCATATTAAATTTTGTATTACCTTTCCAATTTCAACCAATTTAAGAAAACATTTGTCTTGATGTTTTTTATAGAGACAGAGTCTTGCTCTGTCACTGAGGATGGAATACAGTGGTGCAATTATAGTTCACTGCAGCCTTAGACTCCTGGGCTCATGTGATACTCCTGCCTCAGCCTCCCAGGTAGCTAGGGCTATAGGCATATACCACCATACCTAGCTAATGTTTAAATTTTTTGTGTAGATAGGATCTTGTCATGTTCCCCAGGCTGGTCTCAAACTTTTAATCTTGGCCTCACAAAGCACTGGGACATAAGTCTCCATACCAGGCCCCATTTTTTTTTTCTTTTGGGATGGAGTTTCACTCTTGTTGCCCAGGCTGGAGTGCAGTGGTGCGATCTTGGCTCACCACAACCTCCGCCTCCCAGGTTCAAGTGATTATCCTGTCTCAGCCTCCCGAGTAGCTGGAATTACAGGCATGTGCCACCACACCCGGCTAATTTTGTATTTTTAGTAGAGATGAGATTTCACCATGTTGGCCAGGCTGGTCTCAAACTCCCGACTTCAGGTGATCTGCCGACCTCTGCCTCCCAAAGTGCTGAGTTTATAGGCATGAGCCACTGTACCGGGCCAAGGCTCCCATTTCTTAATACCTACTATGAACTATACCCTTACCTGGGTGTAAAGTTGAATAAACCATAGGTTTAGTGGATAATTCTGTGTGTTTATAAAGATAAAACTTATCCAGTATAGGCTGGTCACAATGGCTCATACTTGTAATCTCAGTATTTTGGGAGGCTGGGGTGTGAAGATTGCTTGAGCCCAGGAGTTTGCGACCAGCCTAGGCAACATTGTAAAACCCCATCCTACAAAAAACACAAAAATTAGCCAGGTGGGGTGGTGCATTCCCTGTAGACCCAGCTACTCAGGAGGCTGAGATGGGAGGATTGCTTGAGCCTGGTAAATTGAGACTGCATTGAGCTGTGATCATGCCACTTCACTCCAGCCTGGGTGAAAGAGCAAGACCCTGTCTAAAAAAAACTAAGCAAACTGAATAAATTTTTTAAAAATGAGATATCTGTGTTAAAGATTATTTGTATTATCTGTTTATAGAGAGATTTCTTACTGGGTAAGAGTGCAATAAACCCTTGAAAATCAACTTCGAGGAACAGATTGATCACAATTGCCCTCTCAGTTACCAGAGCTAAATGATTGTTTTGAATTTCCAATCTTTTCCATTTCTGCATCACTTGACAAGATTCTCTGGGCAGGCATTTCTCTTATGGCTTCAGCAAAACTACTGTCTCCTGATTCACCTCGTTTCTCCTTCACCCCTTCTTCTCTGGCACCGTTTTCTAGCTTCTCAACCTAAGTCTGCCCTGGAATATGGTCAGTTTCTGGGTTTGAGCTTCCACCCTCTCTTCCAGGTAAACTGTCTTCTGTTTGTGCATATTTGCAAGGCTCCTCTTTCGCAAATCATGATCTCCACCTGCACATTTTCTCTCAAGCACCAGACCAACATTTCTAGTTGAGGACTGGACTCCTCCTACATGTCTGTTCTCTAAATATTGCAAACTCAACATGGCCAAAGCAAAATTTCTTCTTGACTTCAGGTCTTTTTTTTCCTTCTTGTTCTGTTTAAGCTAATTACTTCATTTTCTGTCCATTAACATCAACATAGTTTACTCTGTTTGAATGATAACATATTTCCATCTAATGAAGTCTGAATTGATGAATTTGCTTA